TATGGCTGTGTGGAAGGGCCCTGAGAGAGCTGTTGCATGGCCAAACTACAGATCCCAGGATTCTTTAATTCAATATTCAGCCTTCTCCTAAACTATTCTGGGTTATATGGCTGTGTGGAAGGGCCCTGAGAGAGCTGTTGCATGGCCAAACTACAGATCCCAGGATTCTTTAATTCAATATTCAGCCTTCTCCTAAACTATTCTGGGTTATATGGCTGTGTGGAAGGGCCCTGAGAGAGCTGTTGCATGACTAAACTACAGATTCTTTAATTCAATATTCAGCCTCCTCCTAAATTATTCTGGGTTATATGGCTGTGTGGAACGGCCCTGAGAGAGCTGTTGCATGGCCAAACTACAGATCCCAGGATTCTTTAATTCAATATTCAGCCTTCTCCTAAACTATTCTGGGTTATATGGCTGTGTGGAAGGGCCCTGAGAGAGCTGTTGCATGGCCAAACTACAGATCCCAGGATTCTTTAATTCAATATTCAGCCTTCTCCTAAACTATTCTGGGTTATATGGCTGTGTGGAAGGGCCCTGAGAGAGCTGTTGCATGACTAAACTACAGATCCCAGGATTCTTTAATTCAATATTCAGCCTCCTCCAAAACGTCTTAGAGCCCATATAGCCATATAACCTAGAATATCAAGGCAAAAAATCCTACAATATCTACTTTGTATTGGGAAATCTGAGGTTCCTTCTACAAAGTCCTATATTCTAGAATATCAAACAGAAAATCCCACAATATCTGTTTTGAACTGGGTTATCTGAGTCCCCACTGCCATATATTCCAGTTCAAAGCAAATAATGTGGGATTTTATTCAGCTGTGTGGAAGGGGACTCAGAATATCAAGGCTGAAAATCCAACAATATCTGCTTTGTATTGGGATATCTGAGTCCACGCTATCATATATTTCAGTTCAAAGCAGAACATGTGAGTTTTTATTCAGCTGTGTGGAAGGGACCTTAGGAAGATTGTTGCCTTCGTTTGATATTATAGTCCATTCCAATCCTTTTCACTGATATATTTCCCAACAGCGAGGTTAAAAAAAGCTTTATATGTGGCTGAAATCATACTCTGGATCTGTGTTTTGTTTCCCAATTGTGTGCAACTTTGCATGGCCAGCCTTGGAAACCTTGACGAACCTGAAATCTCTTAAACAGTTTCACAAGCTTCTCCCTTGCTTTTCTGGCATTGTTGCCATTCCAGCCTTGGCTTTTCCATAAGCAGATAAGGCCAGTTGGGGCTTTGTGAACATTCCTTGCGGATTAGAAAGACTTTTTGCCACCTCTGTAAACTGTACACAAGTTAGATGCTCCGACAATATAAGAAACCCATTTTTGAACTATATGGAATTTTCCCCAGTGTTTTAAAGTGAGCCTCTTTTGCTAAGCTAGTTTTTAATGATTTGGCATTCATTTGTGTTCATTTGGAAGCTGAGAAAGGAAGAGGTTGGTTTTGAGAAGAAACTATATCATATACATCCCATTTATGTATTTATTTTGTCGTGTCAGGAGCGACTTGAGAAACTGCAAGTCGCTTCTGGTGTGAGAGAATTGGCCGTCTGCAAGGACGTTGCCCAGGGGATGCCTGGATGGGTTTTTTTATGTTTTACTACCCTTGTGGGAGGCTTCTCTCATGCCCCTACATGGGGAGCTGGAGCTGACAGAGGGAGCTCATCCACGCTTTCCCTTGATTCGAACCTGCAACCTGTCGGTCTTCAGTCCTGCCGGCACAGGGTTTAACCCACTGCGCCACCAGGGACTCAATTACATCCCATAATACTATGCAACACAATTTTTGTTCCTGGGTTAAAAATGTCATTTCCTCATTGGATCTATCATAAAAACATGGAAAAGTTTATTAAACTGCGCAAACTTTGTCTTTGCAGGAGGGACATCCTGCTGCACGTTTTGCTCTAGTTTTTCAATGAGTATCTCGTAGAGTCTCAGCCAATTCAACCTAGTTTGTGGCAGTATAATAACAAATGGCAATTTATTTATTATTATTTATTTATTTACGACATTTATATGCTGCCCTTCTCACCCCGAAGGGGACTCAGAGCGGCTTACAAGTAAAAAGTAAATACAATATATTATTATTATCATAGCACAATATTAATATTATATATTACATTGTACTATAACATTATACTGTAATATTATTAGTAATATTACATTAATATAAAATATATAATTATAATATCATATTATTATTAGTAGTAGTAGTATATTGTATTACATTATAATATTATCAATATTATATGTATATACAATATATTTATATTATATTATATTATATTATATTATATTATATTATATTATATTATATTATAAGCACAGTGCAGGAGACAAGATGGAACTGCCTTCCTGGCCCCTCTCTTCACTCTGATCTCAGAGCAGCGTGAACTTTAATTCATTGATGTTTTAACAATATTGTTTGTTTAAAAATATTTCCAATGAAATTCTTACTTTATTTACATCTTTTTAAAGGATGTTCTTAGATCCCAGCCTTGGGAGAAAGATGGGACATACATTTAAAAAACTTGAATAATCTCTCATGAATAGTGCAGCATTGGAGTGTAGTCTTTGGGTTTGGAAGTTCTTATTCTGAATCAGGCAATCCATCTAAACTGACCTGATAGTAAGCCAACTTTTTATTAATGACGTAGATGAAGGGTTAGAAGGCATGATCATCAAGTTTGCAGGCAAAACCAAATTGGGAGGGAGAGCCAATATTCCAGAAGACAGCAACAGAATGCAAAAAGATCTTAACAGATTAGAGAGATGATTGGCCAAAACTAACACAATAAAGTTCAACAGGGGCAAATGAAAGAAACCCCAGTTAGGCAGAAAAAATGAAATGCAAAGAGACAGAAATGAACAAAATCTGGCTACCAGTATTTTTTAAAAAAAACAACTCTAAAATTACAACAGCAAAACAGCAAAGAGGAAACAACCAGGCACATCTTAACACCTCTCAACAAAAGATTCCCCCAGGCTCAGCCAGGCCTTCAAATGCTAATGAAGGTGGTCAGTTGAAACATTCACACCCAGCTCCAGCAGAGAAGAGCTCTTTGCCCCACCCCAGTCATTCCACAGATATATAAACCCATTTCCTAGTTCCAACAGACCTCACTACCTCTGAGGATGCTTGCCATAGATGCAGGCGAAACGTCAGGAGAAAATGCCTCTAGAACATGGCCATATAGCCCGAAAAAAACCCACAAGAACCTAGAATGGGGGATGATTCCTGGCTCAATAGAAGTACGTGTGAAAAAGATCTTGGAGTCCACGTGGACAGGAAGGTGAACATGAGCCAACAATGTGATGCAGCAGCTAAAAAAGGCAATGGGATTTTGGCCTGCATCAATAGGAGTCTAGTGTCTAGATCCAGGGAAGTCATGCTCCCCCCCTATTCTGCCTTGGTCAGACCACACCTGGAATCACACTGTGTACAGTTCTGGGCACCACAGTTGAAGGGAGTTGTTGACAAGCTGGAATTTGTCCAGAGGAGGGCGACTAAAATGATCAAGGGTCTGGAGAGCAATCTCTGTGAGGAGCGGCTTAAAGAGCTGGGCCTGTTTAACCTGCAGAAAAGAAGGCTGGGAGGAGACACGATGAGGGCCATGTATTTAGATGTGAGGGGAAGTCATAAGTACTTGTTTTCTGCTGCCCTGGAGACTAGAACGCAGAACAATGGCTTAAAACTACACAAAAGGAGATTCCACCTGAACAGGATTTTTTTCCTATAATTTCCAGAGCAGCTTACAAGATATATATACATACAATTTATTATATTATTAGCATAGTACAATATCAGTATTATATATTACTATATTGTACTATACCATTATAGGAAAAAAATCCTGAGAGAGCCGTTCAGCAGTGGAACTCTGCCTCGGAGTGTGGTGGAGTCTCCTTCTTTGGAGGCTTTTAAACAGGCTGGATGGCCATCTGTTGGGGGTGCTTTGAATGAGATTTTCCTGCGTCTTGGCAGAATGGGGCTGGATTGGATGGTCCACCAGGTCTCTTCCAACTCTAGGATTCTACGATTCTATGATTCTTGTCCTGAAATCCCATTTTGGAATTCCCACTATGCAGCCAGTTCTGTTTTCTCTCATTTCCTATCTGGGCCCAGGTTAGTTGTACATAACCTTTCTGGCTCTTCTGCAAACCTTGCCAGATGCACCAGACTCATCTGTTATACCAGACCGTTTACGTGACTGTTGTCACAAGGACCAGAACTATAATTCCTTTTTATATGCTTAACTGACATCTCCTGGGACCCAAAGGGGCTGTTTCTCATTAGGAGAATGGATCTGCAGACTGTTAATTGCACCGTGACTTAATGAAATCTCTCCTTTTTGTGGCAAAAGACCCCAATGCATCCTAGACCAGAAGGAAGAAATGTGGTTGGCAAGTGGCCCCCAGGGCTGGTCTTGGGGTCCCCAAATCCAGAAATGTGTTTATCCTCAAATATCCTACTGGCTGTTAGAAATTGTGGGTGTTGAAGTCCAAAACACCTGGAGGGAGGGCCGCCGAAGTTTGCTCATGCCTGGTATATAAGAGTATGCTCAATGTTCAGTATCCTGAATGATAACTATATTGAATGAATATAAGACTCTATTTATTTATTTACCGCATTTATATGCCGCCCTTCTCACCCCGAAGGGGACTCAGAGCGGCTTACAAGATATATATACATACAATATATCATATTATTAGCATAGTACAATATCAGTATTATATATTACTATATTGTACTATACCATTATATTGTAATATTATTAGTAATATTACATGTAATATAAAATATATAATTATAATATATTAGTAGTAATGGTATTATCTACTTAAATAAAATACTCAGAGAGATGAAACTCTGCTTTCCAGACATTCCCATCCTGCATTCCCAGCTCAGTGCTCTCCAAATGTGTTGAACTCACACTCCCGTTATCCACAGTGAGTGCTTTTTCTTTAACCTGTCTCTCTTTCAGGCTCCGTTGCATAGGATGTGGGGACGCCGCCTGTTGCGCCTCATCTCTGGCCCCCAGCGCCTGCTGAAAAGGGACTTGGACGGCTGGGTGCCATGGCGGTTGGGTTTCAGGGCCGTTGGCCCAGGCCTGGCCTGCTGGCATCACACAGCCCCAGAGTCATGGAGCTGTGCCTGGCAGTTAAACCAGGATCACTTGGGTAAGTCGCCAGACTGGGGAGGAAGTGAGGCACTTTGTAGGAACACCTGGGTTTATTTTTGCAGAAAAGCTGCACGAGGATATGCCTTGAGTGTGTTATCTGGTATTCATGGAGATATAATTTCATTAAATAGAAGAAAAAGCCCTTTTGGGATCAGGCCAATCTCCTATTGAGTCCAGCTCTCTGTTCATTAAGTGGCTAACCAGATGCCCACGAGAAGCCCACAGGACAGATGTACATTGAATAGCATCCTTCTGGCTCTTTTCCCCAGTAAATGGTGCTGAGAAGATTAGTGTCTCTGATAACACCATGTAATTTATTTATGTATGTATTTACGACATTTATATGCCGCCCTTCTCACCCCGAAGGGGACTCAGAGCGGCTTACAAGATATATATACATACAATACATTATATTATTAGCATAATACAATATCAGTATTATATATTACTACTAGCTGTCCCCTGCCACACGTTGCTGTGGCCCAGTCTAGTGATCAGGAAAATAAAGTAATGAGAAAATGTTGGTTTCTAATATATGTAATGTCTTTCTGCTTGTGGGTAAACAGTATTTCTTGCTGTTTCTTTGTCAGTGTTGATGTGGAGAGTGTCTGGTTTGCCTACTCTGGAATATGCAACATATCATTGTCCTTCTTTAAGGGTCCCTTTCAAATCTATCATATTATATCCGTGTGTGTGAATCATATCTATCTATATCTATGACTGGATGGCTCTTTGTCAGGAAGACTTTGATTATGTTTTCTTGTCCTGGTGAAGGTAGTTGGACTCGATGGCCTTAAGTAATGTCTGTTGGTCATGGGAGTTCTGTGTAGGAAGTTTGCCCCAATTCTGTCGTTCGTGGGGTTCTAGTTTTTGCTCTAGTTTTTCGATGAATCTCTCCTTGAGTCTCAACCAATTCAACATAGTTTTTGGCAGCCACAAAGTTTGTATCACACAATTAAACAGGAAATAACACTTTCAAACCATGAACAGATTTTTCCCCTGATTTTGCATAGTGTAAAATGTTGGTAACATATCGTTGTGGTGATATGATGAAGATGACTTATTGGAACTTCTTAATTTGCAGCCATATTCCCTGTTACCTCTTAATTTAATTGGAACAGATTTTCCAAGCAAGAGTATATGTATGCTTGATGTCCACAATGTAGTATGCATTACATAAATGCAAAATATCTCACTGGTTTAGTCTTCAGTGGGCAATTAAAACACAATGACTTTGAAAAAAAATACCTGCTCATTGTAAATGAAAACTTTATCGGCACAGTTTCCTGTAATTTTGGACTGTTGGCATGGAATCACAATTTACTACTTGCTTTTTGCAATGTATTTGAATTGGAAAGAGGTGGGAAAAATGCTTGCTGCTCATTCTGATACTAGTGTTGTGTGTTTCCTTTCTAGAGCTGAAATATGGAGAAACCCTCATGCGCTTTGACTATGTCTGGCTCCGGGACCACTGTCGCTCTGCGTCCTGCTACAACACAAAGACCAACCAACGGAGCTTGGACACAGCCAGCGTGGACCTCTGCATCCGGCCAAAGACGGTCAGAGTGGATGAGACCACGCTGTTTCTCACCTGTAAGTTTCTGACGCATTCCTTTTCAGGTGAAGACTGCACAGGGGTTGCCAGATCTTTTGAATCAGCAGTTTTAAAAGTGCAATAGATAGTGTTGGAGTTCAGCCTGTGATTGTGTTTCAGGATCAGGGTGCTTTGGATGTCGAAAGTGATGCCAATGAATTTCAAGATGGAAATGGTTTGGTCAGTGATACTGATGCAGAGAAGGACCAGGAGACCCCTGTGCAAAGTGTAGTATCCCATGAGAATGTCCCTGAAGGGTGTGGGGATGATAGTGTACTCCCTGAATTGCTACCAGAGAGTTCCTAGGATTTGAGGCTTGAAAACAACTGGGCACCTGGCAGAGCTGCAAAACTTAATGAGCAAATAGATAGGTGAGAGAAAATTAGTCAAAACAGACAGGCTGAACAGTGCCTTCGGTGTTCTGCCAGGCTCCGACAGAAAAAGATAAGGGGATCTCAAGTAAAGCGAAACTAATTCCTGAGTGTGTGAAATAGTTTAATGAGGGGATAAAAGTTCAAAGTATGGGAAATATAGTCAGATGAAGCATTGTTGGAATCAAGTGTAGTTCTTGTCCTTGTTTTATGGAAGCCTTGCTTGGAAGATTCTTGTCTAAGTATTACTTGTTTCATGGTTTGGATTCTTGGATTGCATGAACGCCCTACTCATGCCTTGGATTAATGCTTCCTGTTTTCCTCAATTATATTTAGAGAAGTGTGGACTTTGTTTTTTATGGGCTTTGCTGAACTTTACCCTGGACTATTTTTGTTTCTGCTTATCTTCTTACCTAATTGGATTTACTTATTTCTTTGAAGTGCTTTTTACTTGCTGCTTTTCAATTATCTCCAATAAAAGGATTGTTTTCCAATCAACGGTGTGGTGTTTACAGTCAGAGGGCTTTTCCTGTCCTGGAGTGCAACAGATACATATATATTTGTGTTCTCAATACTCATGCTTTTCTCCCTTGTCAGTGGATGGAACAGGAATTACGTAGGCTCTTTCTGCCAAAATGGTTGAGAATGGAAACCTGTGGGTTTTTATTGGGAAAACACCTATTTACCTCCTCCTGTAAATATACAGGATATATATTTTTAGAGCTTTCTGTTTCTGCCCATGTTACTGTGTACCTTCGAGTGGTTTCTAACATATCCTGGAGTTTTCTTGGTAAGATTGGTTTGTCATTGCCTTCCTCTAAGGCTGAGAAAACCTCCTTGCTGGGTCACTCAGTGGGTTTCTATGACCAAGCAGGATTTTTGAGCCTGATCTTGTTGGCCTTTTTTAAATGCCTGGGCATGAAAATGGACTCCTGAAATGGTCCTTAGCCTTTCCCCTTCGACTTATCTATGGATCATATGAAAATTCATAGTTATGATCCCAAACATGTTCTCTACTATTGCATGAGGTTAGATAGTTCAGTTTGTTACCTATAACAGAAGTGTGCACCAAGGGTGAGCATCTCTTTATGCCACCACTGAAAATATGAAAGCTATTTGCAAGGATCCTTGAACTCATCTTGCCTCTCCTCTGCTATTTCAAGGGCCCGATGGCCACGTGACCCGGTATGGTCTGGAATGGCTGCTGAAGAACAGCTACGAGGGGCAGAAACAGCAGGTCATGCACCCGCGCATGCTCTGGAATGCCCAGATTTACCAGGAGGCCCAGGTGCCCTCCGTTGAGTGCCAGAGCTTCCTGGAGACTAACGAAGGCCTGAGGGAGTTCCTGCAGAACTTCTTGCTCTACGGGATTGCCTTTGTGGAAAACGTTCCCCCCACTAAAGAGGACACTGAGATTTTAGCAGAGAGGATTAGCCTGATAAGGTAACTCTATGGTTGTTTTGGTAAATATGTTGATGCTGCTGCTGTTGGATTGTTCTATTTATTTATTTGTTCCCCACTTTTCTCTCTTTGTTGAAATCCAAAACAGCTCACAATCTTAAAAAATAATGCGACTGAAAACCAGTTTATTTTCTGCTACTAACAATGGACAGAATTGTCAATGTACTTCACCTGGCTTGCAGCCTTGCTTGCTAAACTTTTTCTTTATCCATCAAGAGTCAAGACTTTGCAGCTTAGATGATTGCTCACTTTGGCTAAACGAGAAACATATCATTTTGGATCCCACTAAAGATCCCACTTTGGAGCCTAGTCTAAAGATCACCCTTTTGTGTTGTTGTTGTTGTTACCTCCCTGGCTTTGGAGCAGAAAAAAATATTTTCTTTGAAGAAGTATAAGGTTCAGGGCTTTTTCCAGGAGCATCTAGAGCCGAGCAAAGAATGAGGCATGCCTTCTTTCTGCAGCCTGGGAATGTTTCGAGTGTCAGAGAGAGCGATATTTCCTGTTTTGACAAGAATGTTCATGAGGGCGATCTTAGCCTTGGGAGAGTTAAGGATCAAACCGTGCTGCTGGTAGAAAGGGCAAAGGAATTCGTTTTTCCACCCAATTAAAATGAAATTGCCAGAATGTCCTTGGGTTGTCCTTGAGAACTAGGAGAAAAGGAGTTTGCGCCAGTTGCCTGCCTACGCTTTTTCAGTGGCTTGTATAAATACGTTCCGGGCCGTTTCCTTGCTTTGGGATTGTCTTAATCATTCACAAGCTCAAGTCCTCCAGATGTTTTGGACTTTAACTCCCAGAAGCTTTAGCTGCTTTGGGTTTCTGGGAGCTGGAGTCCAAAAGACTGGGAAAACCAGAGTTTGGGAAACTTTAATCCATGAAAGCATTGCATCCAAGCACAGTTTGCTCCTCTCACCTATTTACACTTGGATGTTTAAAACTGAGCCTTGGAATTTTGTAGTCTTAATTTGTGGGTGCCTTCATAGATTATATTTTCAATCATAGCCAATAAACTAAACTAGGTGGAAAATTGAAGAGGGATATCATATCATAGTAAAGGTAAAGGTGTTCCCCTGACATGAAGTCCAGTTGTGTCCGACTCTGGGGGTTGGTGCTCATTTCCATTTCTAAGCCAAAGAGCTGTCATTGTTCGTAGACACCTCCAAGGTCATGACTATATGGAGTGCCGTTACCTTCCCGCCGGAGCGGTACCTATTGATCTACTCACATTTGCATGTTTTCAAACTGCTAGGTTGGCAGAAGCTGGGGCTGTCAGTGGAAGCTCACATCGCTCCCTGGAATCAAATCTGTGACCTTTCGATCAACAAGCTAATCATATCATACATACATACATATCATATCATATCATACATACATCATATCATCCATCCATACATATCATATCATATCATATCATACATAGATCATATCATACATAGATCATATCATTAATAATAATAATAATAATCTTTATTTTTATACCACTCTATCTCCCCGAGGGGACTCAGGGTGGTTTCCAAGCAACACCACCAAAACATATGGAATAAACAGCATAACAAAATTAACAAAACAACATAAGCATAAAATTATCACAATTACACATATATATATTAAAAAATAACCCTGCCTGTTCAGAGCAATTAACATACACACACACACACACACACACAATTAACATAACAATTAACATACACACACACACACACTGTAAATTTTATTTATTTACAGTATTTGTATTCCACCCTTCTCACCCTGAAGGGGACTCAGGGCAGATCACAGAACACATACATGGCAACCATTCAATGCCGGTTATAAAATGACAAGACAGACAACAGATAGAGGTAATATATAGGCTTTCCCCCATCTTTTCAGCATCTTTGGAGGCCGTGCTTGGTTCTGGCCACAGGGAGGTGCTGTCGCTCCATCTCCTTACCAAAGAGCTTTCATTGTCCATAAACTGTTCTACCTTTTTCTGATTGAAACGCCATTTTTTCGTGTCAGGAACAACTTGAGAAACTGCAAGTTGCTTCTGTTGTGAGAGAATTGGCCGTCTGCAAAGACGTTGCCCTGGGGACGCCCAGACGTTTTTATGTTTTACCATCTTTGTGGGAGGCTTCTCTCATGTTCCCGCATGGGGAGCTGGAGCAGACAGACGGGAGCTCATCCACACTCTCCCTGAATTCGAACCTCCAACATGTCAATCTTCAGTTCTGTTGGCACAAGGGTTTAGCCCACTGTGCCACTGCTTTAATGCAGTTCCTATTTATCTACTCACATTGCTGTTTTCGATCTGCTAGTTGGGTGGGGAGCTGTGCTAAGGTCAGGAGCTCACCCTGACCCGGCTTCAAACTGTCAACCATTCGGTTGGCAAGATTTACTGCAGCTGCAGCTGGTGATTAACCTGCTGTGCTAAAGCCGACCCACTAGATAGATATACTATCACATATAAACTATGCATAAATAACATAAATACATTCATAAATAGATGGTTTTTAAGCAACTTTTAATGTGAATATAAGTGATTTTAATGTTTGTATATATTTAGGGTTTTATGTCCCGGCACTGAATGTTTGCCATATATATGTTGTGCTCTGCCACGAGTCCCCTGAAGGGTGAGAAAGGGGAATATAAATGTTTTTAATAATAATAATAATAATAATAATAATAATAATAATAATAATAAATACATTCATGTGATGCGCCTGATATTCCATTAATGCAATTCTATGCACACTTGAGAGTTTGATTTTGTGAGTCCTACTACTGAGAAATCATGCAACAAAATTAGTTGTCCAGGTATTGTTAGTAAACTAGGATTGTATCGTTGGCTTATTCACTTGAATGGTCATTCCACCCATCTGCTTTGGCTTTATAAGTTAGGTATGATTTTGAACAGATTTGAAAAGTTGTTTTTGTACTACATTCCCCAGAATTACTCAGCAAGCATGATTGGAAAAGCTAACCTATCCATATTAATCTAATACTTTTTACGAAGAGTGGTCTGTTGGCCTTTCTGATCTTTCTCCTCTCCTCTTGTAGAGAAACCATCTATGGCCGGATGTGGCATTTCACCTCTGACTTTTCCCGGGGAGACACTGCCTACACCAAGCTAGCTCTGGATCGTCACACTGACACCACCTACTTCCAGGAGCCCTGCGGGTAAGCGCCAGGCCAAGAAGGAGCAGCCAAAAACTTGGCTCCTTTTAGGTAGAACATTGGCAGAAAGAGTAGTATGGTGATTGATTTATTTATTTATTTACAACGTTTATATGCCGCCCTTCTCACTCCGAAGGGGACTCAGAGCAGCTTACAAGATATATATGCATACAATATATTAGCCTAGTATATTAGCCTAGTATAATATCAGTATTAAATATTACTATATTGTACCATACCATTATATTGTACTATACCATTACATTGTAATATTACTAGTAATATAACATGTAATATAAATATATAATTATAATACCATATTATTAGTAGTATTATATTGCATTACATTATAATATTATACATATTATGTCTATATACAATACAGTATATGATGTGATATGATATGATGTGATGTGATGTGATATTATTAGTATAGCACAGGAAACAAGATGGAACTGTCCCCTGGCCCCCTCTCTCTTCACTTTTGCCCAGAGCGGCAGTTGGTGCTGTGGGGAGGAGTCCCCAACTGTTGACATATACAGGAGACAAGATGGAATTGTCCCCTGGTCCCCTCTCTCTTCACTCTGGCCCAGAGCGGCAGTTGGTGCTGGGGGAGGGGTCCCCAACTGATGACATATGCAGGAGACAAGATGGAACTGTCCCCTGGCCCCCTCTCTCTTCTCTCTGGCCCAGAGCGGCAGTTGGTGCTGGGGAGGGGTCCCCAACTGATGACATACGCAGGAGACAAGATGGAACTGTCCCCTGGCCCCCTCTCTCTTCACTCTGGCCCAGAGTGGCAGTTGGTGCTGCGGGGAGGGGTCTCCAACTGATGACATATGCAGGAGACAAGATGGAACTGTCCCCTGGCCCCCTTTCTCTTCACTCTGGCCCACAGCAGCAGTTGGTGCTGGGGGAGGGGTCCCCAACTGATGACATATGCAGGAGACAAGATGGAACTGTCCCCTGGCCCCCTCTCTCTTCACTCTGGCCCAGAGTGGCAGTTGGTGCTGCGGGGAGGGGTCCCCAACTGATGACATATGCAGGAGACAAGATGGAACTGTCCCCTGGCCCCCTCTCTCTTCACTCTGGCCCAGAGCGGCAGTTGGTGCTGGGGGAGGGGTCCCCAACTGATGACATATGCAGGAGACAAGATGGAACTGTCCCCTGGCCCCCTCTCTCTTCACTCTGGCCCAGAGCAGCAGTTGGTGCTAGGGGAGGGGTCCCCAACTGATGACATATGCAGGAGACAAGATGGAACTGTCCCCTGGCCCCCTCTCTCTTCACTCTGGCCCAGAGCGGCAGTTGGTGCTGCGGGGAGGGGTCCAACTGATGACATATGCAGGAGACAAGATGGAACTGTCCCCTGGCCCCCTCTCTCTTCACTCTGGCCCAGAGTGGCAGTTGGTGCTGCGGGGAGGGGTCCCCAACTGATGACATATGCAGGAGACAAGATGGAACTGTCCCCTGGCCCCCTCTCTCTTCACTCTGGCCCAGAGTGGCAGTTGGTGCTGGGGAGGGGTCCCCAACTGATGACATATGCAGGAGACAAGATGGAACTGTCCCCTGGCCCCCTCTCTCTTCACTCTGGCCCAGAGTGGCAGTTGGTGCTGCGGGGAGGGGTCCCCAACTGATGACATACGCAGGAGACAAGATGGAACTGTCCCCTGGCCCCCTCTCTCTTCACTCTGGCCCAGAGCAGCAGTTGGTGCTGGGGGAGGGGTCCCCAACTGATGACATATGCAGGAGACAAGATGGAACTGTCCCCTGGCCCCCTCTCTCTTCACTCTGGCCCAGAGCGGCAGTTGGTGCTGCGAGGAGGGGTCTCGAAATGATGAGGTGATGGTTGACACTTCCACAAAACCCTTTTGATATAACACTGACCTTATCCCTCAAAGGCAATGTCAGAGTGGAGTGTAAACTCTAGCAGATTTGGTCAAGCTGATAAGGTTTCAAATATAGCATGTAGAAGTAAATTCTGCAGACCAACTTAACTAAGTATGAAGAAACTATCCTAACTAAGCACTTTTCACCAAAAGGTTGGTCACCGGTGGATGAAGTCACCATGGCCACTGGTAATGTCAACATGGTGATTAATAATATTTTTTGTTCCTGGGTCATCCTGCAGCACATTTTACTCTAGTTTTTCGATGAATATCTCATCAAGTCTGAATCAATTCTGAAGTAAGGCTCTTTCAGGCTGAGGCCTACTAACACTGAGGCCTTTCTCCCACTGAGCCCTTCTCTCATACTGAGGGCTCCTAAGCTGCAGACACACCTGCTTGTATTGAACTGCAGCTTTTGGTGAGTCATGGCATCCATATAATCCTTTCAGTGCTTGACTCATATTTTTGTAATTAAAAAAATGTCTAGTTAATTTTTAATATTTATAACAATAACACCTACTTTCAAAGTAAGTTCTGCACAATTAAACAGGAAATGACACTTTCAAACCAGGAACAGATTTTTTTTTCTTCAAATTTTGGTACGTGTGTAATTATTTTCAAAGTATTCAAAGTTAAGAAGGAAGAGGAGGAGGAGGAGGAATTGTTATTAATATTGACATCTTAGTTTGGTAGTTTTCCATCCAAGCACTAATTCTATGTTTCTAAGTGCTCCTAGATCAAGTATGGAGACAGTGTGGTCCTTCATATGTTGGACTGCAATTCTCAAGATTCCTTCAGCATTGCCTATGCTAGCTACGGCTGATGGTATAGTTCAATAGTGTTTGGAGAAACTTAAGTTTTCCACCTTTGCCAGATATTTATTGGGCTGTAAAGATATCTGTCTCTCTGGCAGCCCTCAGACATTGCAATCCCGATCCTCCACAATGTGGATAAGGAAACAGAACGAGCAGTGGCCTCGTGTACTTTATCCTTCCTGTACTGACTTAATAGAACAGTGTTTCTCAACCTGGTGGTTGGGAACCCTGGGGGAGGGTCTCGAGGGGGGTGTTAAAGGGGTCGCAAAAGACCATCAGAAAACACAGTATGTTCTATTGGTCATGAGGGTTCCGTGTGGGAAGTTTGACCCAATTCTATCACTTGTAGGGTTCAGAATGCTCTCTGATTGTAGGTGAACTATAAATCCCAGCAACTACAACTCCCAAATGTCAAAGTCTATTTCCCCCAAACTCCACTAGTGTTCACATTTGGGCATATTGAGGATTTGTGCCAAGTTTGGTCCAGATCCATCATTGTTTGAGTTCAGAGTGCTCTTTGGATGCAGATGAACTACAACTCCCCCAAATCAAAGTCAGTGCCCACCAAACCTTTCCAGTCTTTTCTGTTGGTCAGGGGAGTTATGTGTGCCAAGTTTGGTTCAATTCCATCATTGGTGGAGTTCTGAATGCTCTTTAATTGTAGGTGAACTATAAATCCCAGTAACTAAAACGCCCAAATGACAAAATCAACCCTCCCCAACCCAACCAATATTCAAATTTGGGCGTATGGGATATTTGTGCCAAATTTGATCCAGTGAATGAAAATACATCCTACATATCAGATATTTACATTACAGTTCATAACAGTAGCAAAATGACAGTTCTGAAGTAGCAACAAAAATAATGTTATGGTTGGGGGTCACCACAACATGAAGTGTATTAAGGGATCGCGGCATTAGGAGGGTTGAGAACCACTGTAATAGAATGTTTTCTTATTGATCAAGCCAGAGTTTGGTTTGACACTCATATTGGCATACTGTGGTTTCACATCACCTTATCATTTTTCAAAAGAAGGGCCTGTAATATTCAAAGGACAGGAAAACTGTCATAAAAACAATTAAGACATTGGTATCTTTTGCCTTTTCCAGAACTACATCAATAAGAGTTATGTGGCCCTGCCCTTCCAATGCTGGGTTTGATGTTTTTCTGATGATATTATATAAGGTTTCCAAACTGGCCCTGGTCCTAACACAGCCATGTTCCAAAGAGCTCCAGTTTAGTTCTAGTCACTCTATCCTTGCTCAAACAGCACACGCTGAACTATTGTTGTGCCTTAAATAACATTGACTTTGGACAAGAAGGTGGCATGATGCAAAGAATTAGTTAAGCTGAATGAGAGAGGGATCTTGTGCTAATGTTTTCAGAACTTTGTGTATTTGACATGATTACATAAAATAAAAGCAAGTTCCTAGACCTTAAGATTATGTAACTGTCAGCAGAGTTGATGGTCAAGGAGAAGCAGGAGCTGTAGCTGAAACCATCTCAAGAACACCAGACTGAAGAGAGCTCAGTGATGTGATTCTCCATCAGGGTTCTTTAAAGAGACCGTTAAGATTGGTTTACTTTGTCTCCTCTCCTTTGGCTGACTTTACTTCCCGGCATTTGATTCCCACAGCATCCAGGTCCTCCACTGCCTCCGTCACGAAGGGACCGGGGGTCGCACGCTGCTGGTGGATGGCTTCTATGCTGCCGAACAGGTGCTCCAGCAAGCGCCAAATGACTTTGAGCTCCTCACCAAGGTGCCGCTGAAACACGAGTACATTGAGAACGTGGGGGGCTGCCACAACCACATGATTGGGGTTGGACCTGTTCTGAACACCTACCCTTGGAATAATGAGCTCTACCTGATCAGGTGAGGCACCCAGTATCCATCTGAGCTGGCTGCATCCATGCTGAAAACAAGTAGGCCTTGGAAAAGTTAGTTTTGGATGACACACTCTTCCTTGACCCAATTCAAACTACCTTAGAGCAGGATATGGAGTTGAGACTGCCATGGTTGCCTTAGTGGATGATCTCTGTCTTAACACTGACAAAAGGTGTGGGTCTCTGTTGGTGCTTCTAGCCCTCTCAGCGGCTTTCAATACCACCAACCGGAATGCCTGGGGAGTTTAGGACTAGGAGGCACTGTGCTGCAGTGTTTCCAGTCATACCTCTCAGGTAGATTCCAGATGTGCTTGGGGATAACTGCTCCTCAAAAAAGGAGCTGTTATATGGCGTCTTACAAGGTCCCACTCTATCCCCAATGTTTTTTTTAGTATTTACATGAAACTATGGTGAGAGATCTTCCTGTTGCATGGTGCATATATTTCTCCATGCCTTCAAAATCAGCCACTTCATTTCATCCTTAAGTAAAATCTGTTAAATTGGGGATGATGAACATATGAAGGGCCCCTCCACAACTCTTCAATTACTGGAGATAACACGGTGATGCCCAGGAGAAGAAGGGCTTTTGTCCATCCAAATTACAACCTTCCATGGGCAACACCAGCCTGGATGCTGAAAGGCTTCTGTCTGTTTACCTGAATCTTCCACCCCTCTTCAAAATAGATTTTACTACTAGTAGTCCTTCCCTGTCAATGAAGGGTGCAGACATGAGCTTAAAAGGTAAAGGTAAAGATTTCACCTGACATTAAGCCTAGTTGTGTCCAAACCTGGGGGGTAGTGCTCATCTCCATTTCTAAGCCGAAGAGCCGGCACTGTCCATAGACACCTCCAAGGTCATGTGGCCAGCAAAACTGCATAGAGGGCCGTTGCTTTCCTGCAGAAGTGGTCCCTATTGATCTACTCACATTTGGATGTTTTCGAACTGCTAGGTTGGCAAAGCTGAGCCTAACAGCAGGAGCTCAACCCGCTCCCCAAATTCGAACCACCAATCTTTCGGTCAGCAAGTTCAGCAGATCAGGGGACCCTAGCTTAAGCACGACAAATAACATTTCTTCTTCCACTTCCAGATACAACAACTATGACAGAGCTGTCATTAATACGGTGCCGTATGACACTGTACGCCGCTGGTACGCGGCACACCGGACTCTCACCACGGAGCTGCGGAGGAAGGAGAATGAACTCTGGGTCAAACTGAAGCCAGGAAAGGTAATGACACAGCATGACATTCCATCCATTTTTCTGCAGTCCTTCCACTGTGGGTCTCAGTACAAGACTAGCTCTTTACTGAGATGTTCTCTGTCTTATTGTTCCCCTTATTTCCTTTGATTCCTTGAAGGGCTTCCAGGGTTTGGTTTCTTTCCTTTTGTTATTTCTGCAGATGTTAAGACCCCCATGAGCTGCAATTGGTGCTTTCCCCTCATTAGCTCTTGATGCATCCACAAGTCGTCTCAAAATCTATAATTTGGCTCCCCAAATCTGCCCTTGACTTATACACTAGTTTTTTTGTTTGTTTTGTTTTGTTTTATCATGTCAGGAGCGACTTGAGAAACTGCAAGTCACTTCTGGTGTGAGAGAATTGGCCGTCTGCAAGGACGTTGCCCAGGGGATGCTTGGATGTTTTGATGTTTTACCATCCTTGTGGGAGGCTAGTCTCATGTTCCCTTATGAGGAGCTGGACCTGACAGAGGGAGCTCATCTGCGCTTTCCTTGGATTCGAACCTGCGACCTGTCGGTCTTCAATCCTGCCGGTACAGGGGTTTAACCCACTGTGCCATTGGGGGCCTCTACTTATACACTACTTATTAATTTATTAATTTATTTACGACATTTATATGCCGCCCTTCTTCCCCCGAAGGGGACTCAGAGCAGCTTACAAGATATGTATACATACAATATATTATATTATTAGCATAGTACAATATCAGTATTGAATATTACTATATTGTACTATACCATTATATTGTAATATTATTAGTAATACTGTAGTGCACGTAATTTAAATATATCATTATAATATCATATTATTAGTAGTAGCACTTATACACCACCCCGAAGGGGACTCAGAGTGGCTTACAAGATATATATACATACAATATATTATTAGCATAGTACAATATCAGTATTAAATATTACTATATTGTACTATACCATCATATTATAATATTATTAGTAATATTACATGTAATATAAATATATAATTATGATATTATACTATTAGTAGTAGTACTTATACACTAGTATAACAGAGGGAGCTCATGTGCGCTTTCCTTGGATTCGAACCTGCGACCTGTCGGACTTAAATCCTGCCGGGACAGGGGTTTAACCCACTGTGCCATTGGGGGCTCCTACTTATACACTACTTATTAATTAATTAATTAATTAACGACATTTATATGCCGCCCTTCTCACCCTGAAGGGGACTCAGAGCGGCTTACAAGATATATATATACATACAATATATTATATTAGCATAGTACAATATCAGTATTAAATATTACTATATTGTATTATACCATTATATTGTAATTTTATTAGTAATACTGTAGTACATGTAATATAAATATGTAATTATAATATCATATTATTATTAGTAGTACTTATACACTAGTGCAGTGGTTCTCAACCTGTGGGTCCCCAAATGTTTTAGCCTTTAACTCCCAGAAATCCTAACAGCTGGTAAACTGGTTGGGATTTCTGAGAGTTGTAGGCCAAAACACCTGGGGACCCACAGGTTGAGAACCACTGCACTAGTGACATCAAAACATTGCAGTAGCAACTGTTTTTGTGTAGCCACTTCCCTCTCCTTGTCTCTTTCTGCCTCCAGGCCCTGTTTGTGGACAACTGGCGGATCCTGCACGGAAGGGAGTCCTTCACGGGTTACCGGCAGCTCTGCGGTTGCTACCTGACGAGAGACGATGTGCTGAACACAGCCCGCTTCCTGGGCCTGCAAGCCTGATGTGGTCGGAGCCTCTGCGGATTGGGAGCTTCTGCCTCCAAAACAGGGAAGCCTTTGGTCTACCTCACAGACCGGGCCCCTCTTCGCAAGCGGGAGAGAGGTCCCACAGCGTTACTTGATTGTCACTCCACTCGCACAGCCATTGCCTTTCCTTCGCTCTGTCCTTCCCAATTGCCTTGCTCCCTTGGCTTTGAAAGCCTCACTGGTTGAGCTGGGTTGAATTGGGAGCGGTATACAGGCCTATAATAGCACTTCAGAGGGCAGAACTTGTGCCTTTTCCTTTTGAAAGTAGTAACAAACTTGTCCTCGGTTAACCGCCATTCAGCATACAGGTATTTTGGAGCGTATTTGGACATAATCCAAGCGAGGCGTTTTTGGAAATGGAGAAAATAGTGTCCGTCTTGAAGGACATGAAACTCTCCAGCAAAACAAGTAGATAGAACTATTTTCTTTTTCTTCAGTGTTCCAAAAATACACAAGTGCCCATTGCTCGAAGTTTAAGTTAGGCCTCTCTGCATATTTTGTCTTCTACTGATGGCTTAAACTTGTCATATTGAAAGTGTCTCTAGGAAGCTTTTGTAGAAGAGCTGCCGAACTGGAGAGGGAAGTGGTGCTAAAAGAATTCTTCCTTCCCAGTTCTGCAAAGAGTCATTTTGCAAGTACAATGCATCTTTTTCCAGTTTTCTTTGTTATGCCTTCCGTTCGACATCTCCCAAACCATACCTTGACTGCTCTTTCCATTTTGGGGAGAAAGCACAGCAGCTGAAATGTATCTTTTCCTTGTTCTTAACTGCTCTCAAACCTATTTTTTCTCTCTTTTGCCTTTGGAAAGGCTGTACCTTTCCAAACTGAGGGGTTTTCTTGGAAGGCCGCCCTGGATAATAAAACACACAATAAGAAAAGGAAGCGAGAACTGAATTCTGCACAAAGATTGAGAAATTTACTGTCTCACCACAAAAAACATGTTTTGACCTACAACATGTTGTGACACTCCAGATATTGTTGATTGTATCTCCTCAGCTTTTTCTGTGCTGCCTGAAATTGATGAGAGTCTGAGTCCAACAACATTGTCCACTTTTTGCTTGATTTTCCCATTCAAGAGTCCAAAATATTTACTTCAATTTGGTTGAAATGGAAGTGAATATTTATTTATTTATTTATTTACTTTGCTTATATACCGCTGTATCTCAAGCCCGAAGGCGACTCACAGCGGTTCACAAACAGTAAAAACAGTAGAAACAGCAGTGGTTCCATGCAACATATAACAATTGACTTAACACATTATCAATAAATTAACAATAAGCAATTACAATGCACAATTATTACGAAAAACAACCTTTGGACTCTTGAATGACGGAACTGACTAATATAATAGTTCTCAACCTTCTTAATGCTGCAACCCCTAAATACAGTTCCTCATGTTGTGGTGACCCCCAACCATAACATTATTTTCGTTGCCACTTCATAACTGTAATTTTGCTACTGTTATGAATTTTAATGTAAATATTTGATATGCAGGATGTATTTTCATTCACTGGCTAAAATTTGGCACAAATATCCGATACACTCAAATTTGAATACTTGGTGGGATTGGGGCGATTGAGTTTGTAATTTGGGAGTTGTAGTTGCTGGGATGTATAGTCCACCTACAATTAAAGAGCATTCTGAACTCCACCAGGGATGGAACTGAACAAAACTTGGTACACAAAACTCCCATGGCTGGAAGGGTTTAGTGGACATTGACTTTGAGTTTGGGAGTTGTAGTTCACCTACATCCAGAGAGCACTGTGGACTCAAACAGTGATGGATCTGGACCAAACTTGGCATGAATACTCAATATGCCCAAATGTGAACACTGGTGGAGTTTGGGGGGAAATGACCATGACATTTGGGAGTTGTAGTTGCTGGGATTTATAGTTCACCTACAATGAAAGAGCATTCTGAACCCTACCAATGATAGAATTGAGCCAAACTTCACACACAGAATCCCCATGACCAACAGAAAATATTGTGTTTTCTGGTGGTCTTTGGAGACCCCTCTGACATCCCTTCGCAACCCCTCCAAGGGTTGAGAAACACTGGACTAATGGCTATCTTGATGGCAGCCTTGATACACTCCTAGAAAGGTGCATTAGGGATTATTGCATTATGTAGTGCTATGAATGTATGTTGTTCCCTTGAATACCTTTGCCTGACTCTGATCAAAATAATAAGTTCCCCAGTGCTGTCTCACCTTTTGAGCAATTGCTGTTGCTTCTAAGGAAATGAGCTTTTCTTGCAAGAGAGAGTCTCATGAGCAGCAACTGGGGACCCTTTCAGTCCTCAATTTGGACTTACATCCCTTGTATCCACTCCATTTTGGGTTAGAACTAATAAAACCTTTTTGATAGGACTTGGGATGGGTACTATTTGTCTACATCCTTGGTTCACAATCTTTAAAACGATTGTATATGTGTATGTCTTTGCATTTACTGCCATAACGTATACCATGCCTCAAAATTGTTTTGAAATCTGTTTTAAGCACAGCCAGAGAGCAGGATGGCAAACTAAAATCGATAACAGAAGGTCTCCTTGGCTTGGGCCGTGTCTTCATGACAGGATGCCGTTACTTGCTGACCGAAAGGTTAGTGGTTTGAATCCGGGAAGCAGGGCGAGCTCCCGCTGTTAGCCCCAGCTTCTGCCAACCAAGAAGTTCGAAAACATGCAAATGTGAATAGATCAATAGGTACCGCTGACACAAGGTTTTACCCCACTTCACCACTGTGGGATCCACATGGGATGGTGACTATTTTCCTACATCCTTGGTTCACAATCTTAAAAATGATTGTATATGTGTATGTATTTGCATTTACTGCCATAATGTACAGTATGCCATGGCCCATAATCGTTTTGAAATCTGTTTTTATCACAGCCAAAGAGCAGGATGGCTAAAAATGATAGCTCAAGGCCTCCTTGGCTTGGGCTGTGTCTTCACAAGAGGTTGTCGTTGCTGAGTTTGTGATGAGCGTAGTACACTCCCTTCCCGTTTGATATTTTTGCCAGATTTCCTAAATCCCATTCAGTTGCGTCTTTTTGCTTCTGACCTTCCTGAAATCCCTAATGGCAGTTGATGACTTTATAGTCAGCTTTCCCCCTCTTAGTTTCTAAGTTTGTTTCCAAAGAGCATGAGTAGTTTTTGACCTCATTGCTCTAAGTATAATTTTAAACATGTGTCCTCTAACAAAAAGCCACAGAAAAGGAGATTGAGGTACATTATGGTTGCAGACACAATCTTCATGTGAATGTTATTGGGTCTCTATTGCAGGCCCTTCTGGTGGCACTGTGGGTTAAACCACTGAGCTGCTGAACTTGCTGACCGAAAAGTTGGCGGTAAGGAACGAGGTGAGCTCCCACTGTTAGGCCCAGCTTCTTCTGCCAGCCTAGCGATTCGAAAACATGCAAATGTAAGTAGATTAATAGGTACCTACTTGGTGGGAAGGTAATTGCACTCCATGCAGTTATCCCAGTCACATGACCTTGAAGGTGTCTACGGGCAACGCCGGCTCTTAGCCTTAGTAATGGAGGTGAGCACCACCACACCCCCCAAGAGTCAGACACAACTAGACTTAAGGAAAACCTTTACCTTTTATTTCAGGGCTGCCACCTGGAATCATCCAAGTGTGGCACTACACACCTGCCTTTCTGTTAAGGCAGAAGAATACAATTGTGAATTGTATTTGTTTGTTCACGAAAAGGTCCAGATCATGTGCAGATCTAGTAGTGTTTTGCACTATTGTCCATCTACTGCCCTTTCCACATGTTGCCAACAAGGAGATGTAGCGCAAGTTGAGCATCTCTTATCCAGAAATCCTCAAAAATTGAGATATTTACTCCTTTGCTTTCTGGTTGTTGAATGTACATGAGCTATATTTCACGCACAAAAGTATTTCCTAAGACTACGTTCAAACTATGTGTAGAAAGTAAATAGGAAATATAAATAGATTAGTTATTTAGGCTTGTAACCATCTCCAAGAAATGTTTGGAGTGATGGGGTAGATATATGCAAATGCAGACTTGCCAAAATCTGAAATTCAAAACACTTCTGGTTCCAAACATTTCGGATAAGGGATACTCAACTTATGTAGAGAGCATACCCAACTTAGCTCCTGACTCCTCCAAAAACAATGTATTTGGATGGTTACTTGTTTCAACCATAATGTGTTCTGTAACTGAATATTTTCTTTCTGCCAATAATAAAAAAGATAAGTGGCATTTCTTTTCAGAGCAGCGGTCTTGTGGCTTTGTTCTTGATACATGTGTGGTTGCATACAAAGCGTGGGCTTAACTTTATCATTTCAGCAAACATGTCCTAAAAGGAAAGGATGTTTTGAACTCAAGTTATTACTCTTTGTCTGTAACAGTGTTTCTCAACCTTCCTAATGCCACAACCCCTAAATACAGTTGATCATGTTTGTGGTGACCCCCAACCATAACATTATTTTTGTTGCTACATCATAACTCATTCTTCATTCTTGTTGATTGAATGATTGACAACTGGGAAATAGAGGGAGAAAACATGGAGACCGTGACAGACTTTGTATTTCTAGGTGCAAAGATCACTGCAGACGCAGATTGCAGCCAGGAAATCAGGAGACACTTACTTCTTGGGAGGAGAGAAATGGCCAATCTCGATAAAATAGTGAAGAGTAGAGACATCACACTGGCAATGAAGATCTGCATAGTCAAAGCAAAGGTATTACCCACAGTCACCTACGGATGTGAGAGCTGGACCATAAGGAAGGCTGAGCGAAGGAAGTTGTGTGGTGTTGGAGGAAAGTGCTGAGAGTGCCTTGGACAGCGAGAAGATCCAACCAGTCCATACTTCAAGAAATAAAGCCCGACTGTTCATTGGAGGGAAGGATAGTAGATGCCGAAAGGAAGTACTTTGGCCACATCATGAGAAGAAAGGAAAGCTTAGAGAAGACAATGATGCTGGAGAAAATGGAAGGAAAAAGGAAGAGGGGCCGACCAAGGGCAAGATGGATGGATGGGATCCTTGAAATGACTGGATTGACCTTGAAGGAGCTGGGGGTGGTGACGACCGACAGGGAGCTCTGGCGTGGGCTGGTCCATGAAGTCATGAAGAGTCGGAAACAACTGAACAAATGAACAACAACAAACATCATAACTAATTTTGCTACTGTTATGAATTGTGATGTAAATATCTGATATGCAGGATTCATTTTCATTCACTGGACCAAATTTGGCACAAATACCTGATATGCTCAAATTTGAATATTGGTGGGATTTGGGTGGGGCAGGGGAGGGGGAATTGATTGTGCCATTTGGGAGTTGTAGTTGCCACGATTTATAGTTAACCTATAATCAAAGAGCATTCTGAACCCCACCAATGATGGAACTGAGCCAAACTTGGCACACAAACCTCCCATGACCAACAGAAAGTACTGGAAGGATTTGGTGCGCATTGACCTTGAGTTTTGGAATTGTAGTTCACGGACATCCAGAGAGCTCTGGACTCAAACAATGATGGATCTGGACCAAACTTGGCATGAATACTCAATATGCCCAAATGTCAACACTGGTGGAGTTTGGGGAGAATAGACCTTGACATTTGGAAGTTGTAGTTGCTGGGATTTATAGTTCACCTAGAATCAAAGAGCATTCTGAACCTCACCAATAGAATTGGGACAAACTTCCCACATAGAATGCCCATGACCCAACAGAAAATACTGTTTTTTTCTGGTGGTCTTTGGCAACCCCTCTAACACCCCGTTGTGGACCCCCCCCCCCCAGGGGTCCCAACTTCCAGGTTGAGAAATGCTGGTCTATAAAAGGGACGAATTGGGGGAAGGGGAAGTTTCTGTGCCTTGCAGAGCATTTTGCCTGCCTTCACACCAAATCAAGAAGTGAAATTAATTTAAATGAAGGAAAGTTGCTTTAGTTCTATAAGCAGCAGAATCGTACTTTTCTTGACACAAGACTTGCGTTAGAATAATAGAATCATAGAGTTGGAAGAGACCTCGCGGGCCATCCAGTCCAACCACATTCTGCCAAGAAGCAGGAATATTGCATTGAAAACACCCCTTACAGATGGCCATCCAGCCTCTGTTTAAAAGCTTCCAAAGAAGGAGCCTCCACCACACTCTGGGGCAGAGAGTTCCACTGCTGAACGGCTCTCACAGTTAGGAAGTTCTTCCTAATGTTCAGATGGAATCTCCAAGTGCCAAGAAATGTCCAAGATGTGACCTGTTGTTTCAAACCAAAGTCCATCTGACTCTGCTTTTCCCAGGCAAAGGTAGCAGTGCATAGGAATAATGGGAATTATAGTCCGCTATCTTCTAGGGAAGCACCAATAGAAAGCTCACAATTAATGACATCTTTTTAGTTTACTTCCAGGATCTTTTCAGCTACTTTCTGGCACATAATGCCCAATAAGACCATTTTCTCCATCCTGGTGTCTCTGCAATGTCCATCGTTTTGATCTGGTGCCCATAAGACTTGCAGGCCAATATATTTTGATGGTCCCAGACTGGGAATGGTTGCATCCACTTGTCATGGCTAATATCCAGATTTGAGGAAAGTCGCATCAAAGAGTGACTGTTTTTCAAGCTGTGTACCCTTTTAACAGGAGTGTTTTGCCTAATTAATCTAATCCAATTTAGATAACATCTACATTGCCTACTATCTTGCATTATCCTGTTTCGTGTCAAAACCACAACCAACAGCTGTCTCAGCGGTAAGCCTTTGAGCACCCATCAGAGAACGTTTCGTTGTTCTAAACCTCCAAAATGAGAAGGATGGAACCTTTAACAGAGGCAATGTTCTTTTGCATTGCTTTCCATAAGTAATCTTGCATAAAATCACACAGAAACTTTCTCTTAGCCAAAAACGGCTTATCTTTATTTCTCATGGAAATATTTGGTGGTTTGTTTTTTTTATCTTTTCCCCCTTCGCTCTGCACTTCCTTTATTTAGTCCTCCAGTTATTTTTGGACTATAGTCCCCACACTCCCCTATTACAGAAAATGAGAATGGTGTGAATTGGTCTCCAAGTCCCAGAAGTCTTAGACAGTACAGCTCCACTCATATGTCATTTTTTAAAGCAAATAATAATAATAATAATAATAATAATAATAATAACTGGAACTGTAAAAGCTTACACAATATGATGATTTAAAGATCAAACTGCAAAGACTCTGGCACAAGCCAGGAAATGTGGTCCCAGTGGTGATCGGCACACTGGGTGCCTAAAGACCTTGGCCTGCACTTAAAAACAATCAGTGCTGACAAAATTACCATCTGTCAGCTGCAAAAGCCCACCTTACTCAAATCTTCACACATTATTCGCTGATACATCACACAGTCCTAGACACTTGGGAAGTGTCCAATGTGTGATCAAATACAAAAGCCTGCTTACCAATCATGTTGTGTATCAAATACTTAGAATAATAATGGCATCCATGAATTTTAGTATCCATTGGGGTTGTGTATGTAATAATAATAATTATAATTATTTTATTTCTTACTTACCTCTCCTTGTAGTAGGTTACAAAATAATCTACATGCTTTCACACTTTCCCTTGTTAAATTTTAATTTAGACTCAGATGTATTTGAATTCAGTCATCAAATCCAAATTCAGCACACGTTTAACAAATATAATTACATATCATTACAGGTTACACACGCTAACCTGAAATAAAATTAGTATCCATCTATTGAACAGAACAAGTCTGACATCAAATGTTGAATTTTTCCAGCAAAGCACAGCATTCCTCTGTCTTTAAAGGATTCTGTTTTACCAAAAGTTGAAATGAAATTTACATATTTGACCAAAATACTGCACCAAAGTACTGCTCCTGGTGGCACAGCAGGTTAAACCACTGATCTGCTGAACTTGCTGCCTGAAAGGTCAGCAGTTCAAATCCAGGGAGTGGAGTGAGCTCCTGCTGTTAGCCTCAGCTTCAGCGAACCTAGCAGTCTGAAAACATGCAAATGTGAGTAAATCAATAGGTACCGCTTTGGCAGGAAAATAATGGGAATGTAACAGTGCTCCATGAAGTCATGCTGGCCATATGACCTTGGAGGTGTTTATGGACAACTCTGGCTCTTCAGCTTAGAAACAAAAATTAGCACCAACCCCCAGAGTTGGGCATGATCAGACTTAATGCCCAGGGGAAACCTATACCTTTACCTTTTACTAAACCAAACTCCAAATACCAGAATTTTTGAGGATGGAGCTTTGGAAGTTATACTGGTATCTACCTGGTATAATTGTGCAATCCAGATACAGCTTCTTCTCTGAGTTGCTAAGAGCTTCATATAAATATGTGAGCATCTTTTGTGCCACTTTTTGGCCTCGTCCATTGTTGGGATGCCACACCAAGTTCTTATCTCACGTAAATACAGTCTTTGGGCTGAGTTAGCACATAAGCTTGCAAAGCATATGCAGGCAGTAGCAGTGCTGTATATATCTTACAGTTGAAGAGCACTAACAGGAATGATTAGAAGACTATGGTCGGAGACCGTCACTCTTTATTTTTCCAGGAATATATCCCATCTGGAAGACATTGAAGACTCCATTTTGCTACCTCCTCCCAAATGTGTTGGTCTCTTCATTTGTATCTTCCATAGACTCTCTCAGACCCAGTACCTCGATTCTCTGGATCCTAAATTCTGAGGTGGATTTTTTGGGGTTCAAGACTCCCTGGTTCTTCTGGAGTGCTCTCTTGAGCTTCCCACGGGTGGAAGCCAACGTGGCTCTCTTGAAACTGCTGGACAGGAAGAAGAAAATCACCGGGTCGAAGCAACAGTTGAGCGCCGAGATGCAAAGGACCATCTCGTTTGCCAGGTGGAGGGCCTGTCTGCTTTCTGTGGTGGGAATGACCCCCACCTGGGCAAGAATGTATGGCACTCGGACAATGTGGTATGGGGTGAAGCACATCACGAAGACGGCCAGGACCACAAAAGTCTTGAGTATGACTCTGGTGCTAGTCTTCTTAGAGTTCTTTAAGGTGATGGCGCGGAGCTTCAGGGAAATTTTGCTGTAAGAGAAGAAGAAAAAGAGCAACAGGAGGAAGAAGGTGGCAACTGCCAACATGTTGAAGACGGATCCTAGTGTCCCTCTATTCTTGAAATGAAAGCATCTGTGAATACAGGGTCCGCTCTCGCCGCTATCGAAAAAGAAAGGCAGCATTGAACCAGCACAAAGGAGCCACACCACTCTGGATGCGGTGGTGCTGTGCGGCACGGTGTGGATGCGGTATTGCTGGAGGGGCCGGGTGATTTTGAGATAGCGGTCCAAGCTGATGAGGCTCAGGAGGAAGATGCTAACATACATGGTGAGGTAGAAGATGATGCCAACCACTTTGCAGAGGATTGGGGGCCCGATCTGGTTCTGGTAAGTGGCCCGGAAGGGCAGGCAAAGGGCAAGCAAGAGGTCCGCCATGGCAAGATTCTTCAGGTACACCATGATGGAGTTCATCTTCCGGGTGCCATAAAAGAAGACCCAGAGAGCCAGGGTGTTGCTGAAGAAGCCGATGATGGAGATGATGGAGTAAGTGATAGGAAGAGTCACGGCTAAGAAGCCATCCTCAATTTCACATGTTGATCCATTAGATCCATTTTGTAGCAGCTCATTCGTAGAGGAAAGGTTATCCATAAGTCTGGGGAGGGGAGAGAAAAATAGATAACAGTTAGCTATACATGTACCTTCAAGTCACCTGTTGATTTATGGTGACCCCATAAGTTTCAAAGGGTTTTCATAGGCAAGGGAATACTCAAAGGTGGTTTGCCATGACCTTCCTCTGGAATACAACTAGGTATTCCTTGGTAGTCTTCTGTGCAATTATTAAGAAGGTCTGACCTTGCTCCGTTTCCAAAATTAGAGAAGATCTGGTGTCTTCAGCTATTTAGCTCCTGGTTAGTTAGTTGTTTATATCAGTTCTACCTATGTTTACTAGGCTGAGATTTCAGCAGACCCAGATGATGTTACAAGGACCAAACTGATTTATGGATAGAATAAATATATGTCCACTTTTCAAGACGACTATCTCCTTGAACGTCCTCCCTCTTGTCCTAAAGTTTGGAGAAGAAGGCCCAAATCTTGAAATCGTGGAGCTCTAGTTGAGCTCATGACAGCTCTCTGCCTTTTCCTTTGTTGTTACAACAACCCTGTAACGTAGGTCTGGCTGAAAAAAAGGAAATTGATTCATAGAGTTTCCTGGCTCAATTAGGATTCGAACCTGGATCTCCATGGCTACCTATGAGTGAAGCTACACTGAAGAAGAAGTGCAGTTTGACACCACTTTAACTGCCATGGCTCAATGCTATGGAAGCCCAGGAGTTGTAGTTTGGCAAGATATTTAGCCTTCCCTGCCAAGGAGTGCTGGGGACTCACAAAACTACATTAACCCTGCAGTGTGGGGTTAATATACACTATGACTACTCTGGCAGAGGGTGATAGGAGATGCCATGGACGCTTGAATCCCTGGATGCAGAATCCATCTGTCCAGAGGGCTCACTGTATTTAAGTGATGTAAATATATTGAGCACTGAAACAAATACAGAACATAACCTGAATCCAAAAACCATGTGTTTATTATTCACGATCTCATTAGAATCCTGATTTCTTCTCACAATAAACATGTTTGTGGGTGAGAACGACCTCACTCTGCACTGACTCTACGTCGGTATCTTGGCTTGGTTCTTAAATGTTTGATTGTATGGTTTCACAGTGAGTCATTACATTAATAACTGAAACTTCGACTTCCTCAAACTAGAACCCGACAGATGTGGGCTGCAACACCCATTATCCCAAGTACAGTAATATGGGATGCAAAATACGTAGTCCTCTCTCTGTTAAAGGATATATCTACATTGCAGATTTAATGCGGTTTACTTTAACTTCCATGGAAACCAGGGGATTGAAGTTTGGTGAGGCACCAGCACTCTTTGTCAGAGAAGGATAAAGCACTTGTGCAACTATAACTTCCATGATTTCATGGCTTTGAAGCAGGGCAGTTCAAGTGGTGTCAAACTCCATTAATTCTACAGTGTAGAAGCACCCCAAATCTGCTCTGGCTAGACCATCCACCATAATCCAGAACAGCCTTTTTTCAACCAATTTTTAAACTGTGGAAGAAGCATTGAAATAATTCCCAGATGTAAGGGATCTCTTGAGTAAATTAATTTTGTGTGTGTGTATAGGTGCATATATATATATATATATATATTTACTGTATTTGTATACCGCCTTTCTCAGCCCATAGGCGACTCAAGGTTGTTAACAGGGTAAAATTCAATGCTTACAATATCATAAATACAATTAAAAATATAACATATAATAAAAATTAAACATATCAATAAAATATAAATTCATAGTGTCGCCTTGTTAAAAACGTTGTTCGGTCTCATTGTTGTTGTTCCACTTTCCTATGTCAGTTACTCTGCATTTGGAAAAGTTTGTTCAAAAAGCCACATCTTGAATTTTTTCAGGAATGTTAAAAGGGAGGTGGCCATTCTAATATCTATAGGGAAGGTGTTCTACAGCCGAAGGGCCACCACCAAGATGGCTCTGTCTCTCATCTCCGCCAAACGTAATGAGAGTAGGGCCTCCCCAGATGATCTTAAGGTCCTAGATGGTTCATAAGGGGAGATGCGTTCAGATATGTATACACTAGCCATTCCCTGCATGCGTTGCTGTGGGCCAGTGTGTGTATATGTGTTTTGTGTGTATATATGTGTGTATATGTGTGTGTATATGTGTGTATGTATGTGGTTTTGTGCATGCGTTGTAATGTATTTTTTGGGTTTTTGGCTTTTTAAGTCTTTTCTGCTGTGTTTTTCAGTGTTTTTATGAGTGATGTTGGCCTGATATGTGCATTGTGTCCAAATTTGGTGTCAATTCGTCCAGTGGTTTTTTGAGTTATGTTAATCCCACAAACGAACATTACATTTATATATACACACACACACAGACATACATATATAGAGACATATATATCTATATAAATAAAAATGTTATGTTCGTTCGTGATATTCACAGAACTCAAAAACCACTAGATGAATTGACACCAAATTTGGACACAAGACACCTAACAATCCAATGTATGTCCTTCACTCAAAAAAATTGATTTTGTCATTTGAGAGTTGTAGTTGCTGGAATTTGTAGTTTACCAACAATCAAAGAGCATTCTGAACCCCACCAATGAGGGAATTGAACCAAACTTGGCACACAGTTCTCCCATGACCAACAGAAAATACTGGAAGGGTTTGGTGGGCAGTGTCCTTTGGTTTTGGAGTTGTAGTTCACCTACATCCAGAGATCACTGTGGACTCAAACAATGATGGATCTGGACCAAACTCTAGACGAATACTCAATATGCCCAAATGTGAACACTGGTGGAGTTTGGGGAAAATAGAATCTTGACATTTCGGGAGTTGTAGTTGCTGGGATTTATAGTTCACCTACAATCACAGAGCATTCTGAACCCCACCAATGATAGAATTGGGCCAAACCTCCCACACAGAACCCCCATGTGGGCCACAGCAATGTGTGGCAGGGGACGGCTAGTATGTGTGTATGTGTGTGTGTGTGTGTGTGTGTTTGTGTGTGTGTATATATCTATATATATAAATCTGTTAGGTTGGTTCAACCGGACAGCAAAACTCCACAACCCCCCAACGAAACTGTACCAAAATTGCCATGCCCATAACACAACCCACAAGGTACAAACATATCTACTCAAAATGAAAAACAACACAACAACACACTCACAAAACGGCAAAACAACTGAGCATGCGCATTGGTGCCCAGCCGCAAGTTCCCTGGCGCGCACACAGTCTTCCGGCCAACGTTCCCTCTGCGGAAGCCATGCCCACTCCAAGCCCCGCCGCGCCGCTTCCCGCACACACACACCCCTGCCGCATGCACACACACAACCCCACGCTCCATCACTCCCCCGCCGCACACACACACGCAACCCCACGCTCCATCACTCCCCCCACCGCCACACACACACGCGCAACCCCACTCCCCCCCGCTGCCGCACACACACACGCAACCCCATGCTCCATCACTCCCCCCGCTGCCGCACACACACAACCCCACGCTCCATCACTCCCCTGCCCCAATCTTACCTCCTTTTACTTCACGCCACCTCCAAACCCCACCCGCCCCTTCCCGCCCTGTCAAAATCCAGGAAAGACAGGAAGGAAGGAAAGAAGGAAGAAAGAGAAAGGGAGGTAAAGAAAAAGGGGGGAAGGAAGGAAAGTTAGAGAAAGAAGGAAGAAGGAAAGGAAAGAAAAGGAAAGATGGAAGGAAAGAAAAGAGAGACAGCAGAAGAGAAAGAAAAAGGGGGAAGGAAGGAAAGAGGTAGAGAAGGAAGAAATGAGAGACAGAGGGAGGGAAAGAAAAAGGGGGAAGGAAGGAGAGAAGGAAAGAAAAAAGGGAATGAAGGAAGGAAAGAGGGAGTGAAGGAAGGGGGAAGATGTAGAGAAAGAGGGAGGGAAGGAAAGAAGGAAAGAGAGAAGGAAGAAAAGAGACCAGAAGAGAAAGAAAAAGGGGGAAGGAAGGAAAGAGATAGAGAAGGAAAGATGGGAGGGAAGGAAGGAAAAATGGGAGGGAAGGAAGGAAAAATGGGAGGGAAGGAAGGAAGGAGGGAAAGAAGGAGAGAAAGAGGGAAGGTTGGCCATAGCAACGCGTGGCGGGTAAAGGTTGTTATTTCTATGATTATTATGATGCTATTATTCCTATGAGACCCTTTTAGGGGGAATGGGAGAGGTGTCAGGTCCCAGAGGCAATGCATTGCATTATTGTTATTGTTATGATGGTGGTGAAATAAAAGGAAATAAAAAGAAAGAAGGAAGCAAACAGGGAGGGAAGAAAGGCAAAGGAAGAAAGGGGGAGGGAATGAAGGAAAGAGAGAAGGATGAAACCAAGTAGTGAAAGAAGGAAAGAAAGAAAGAGGTAGAGAAGGAAGAAAGGAGAGAAAGGGGGAGGAAAAGGGGGAAGGAATAGGTAGGGACCTCTTTTTCATAATAGTCCAGATATCTACCTCAACTTTGATAAGTTTTACTATAGGCCACAGCAACGCGTGGCAGGGCACAGCTAGTATATATATATATATATATCCAATCACATCTCGCAACTGCAACCTTTCACCAAACTAGAGAACCATAGTTGATAAACCCAAACTGAGAAAATAGTGATTTTATCATCAGACATTGGACCATCAGGCATTGAACCACTTTGTTTTTCAGTCGCTTGAGTCCCTGTATTGGGAGAAAGGTGGAATAAAACTAAAGCTAATAATAAATAAATAAATTCACTTACCTTGGCAGATCTTCAAGAGTCAATTCAGCAGAGACTGAACGCAATACTTGGTTTCTTTACTTCTTTTAATTCCTTCTATCAGAATTTCCTGAAGTGCTCTTTGTTTCCTGCCCAAATGTCAAATTGCTGCTCTGTCACTGACAAATCTAGAATATCTCACAATAACCTACCCTCTTCGTGCAGTGCCTGCGGTTGCTTTGGATGGGGAGCAGAAATGAAACTGGTTTCTTTGAACTTGCTTCAGAAACAGAAGCAGTTCAGGTATGTGCATGGTGGGGGGGGGGGGGGGGGGGGGGGTAGTGGTGGTGTCAAATTGAGGCAGGAAAGTTTGTCAAACAAGGCAGATTTCTGAAAGCATGGGAACCATTGGTACCATTTACAAAGCAAAATGTAAAATGCTTGCATTTTGGAAGATCAAGTAAAATATAGATATAGTAAGGTAGAATAAAGAAGTTGTGTCAGATAAGCCATTAGTGGGATGACACTAATATTTCCATCGTACGTCTTTAAGTTGGGAGGTGAGAAGTCCATTTTAAGTCTTCAATGCTCATTTTCATCATAGGGAATCCCTCGTGGCTGCGTATGATGGCCTTCCAAATGAAGGGTCTTGGCAGTGGGTCCATAGGTGACTGTAAACATCTATTCTTGATCTGCATGTTCTTTTGCAGTGAGAACATCGATTTCCAGATGGAAGGCGGTCCCAACAAGGGTTGGCTTGATGCACCTTCTTCCTCTTCACACGTTTCTCCCTTTTGCCCTCTATTCATGCCTCTTCAAATTCCACAGCACTGGTGGTCACAGCTGACCCCCAGTTAGAGCGCTCAAAGGCCAGGGCTTCCCAGTGTTCACTGTCTATGCCACATATGTCATATGGCATTTTTAAGGTTAGCTTTAAGCCCATCTTTCAATCTCTTTTCCTGTCCACCAACATTCCATTTTCCGTTCTTGAGTTGAGCATATAGTAACTGCTTTGGGAGATGGTGATCGTTGGCCATTTGGACAATGTGGCATACGGTCCAGCAGATTTGATGGCGGAGGATCATCACTTCAGTGCTGGTGGTCTTTGCTTCTTCCAAAACACTGACATTTGTCTGCCTGTCTTCCCAAGAGATTTGCAGGATTTTTTGGAGGCAACGCTGATGGAATCATTCCAGAAGTTGAGTGTGACATCTGTAGACGGTCCATGTTTCACAGGCATGTAACAGGGTTGGGAGAACAATAGCTTTATAAACAAGCATCTTGGTCTCCCCACGAATGTCCTGATCCTCACACACGCTCTGCTTCATTGACACAGCATTGCACTTTCGTTGCATGCTCTAGTTTACAAGTGACAATTTGCACTATCCTATTTCCTTGTTCCTGTATATAGTCGGCCATATCTTACGACAGTTCTCTCCTAGGTTATTGGGCCCTGTTTTGAGCTTAAATTATTGGTTTGATCCTTTATTACATTGTTCTTTATTTTATGTGTCATTTTGGGCACATTGTGCCATATGTAAGCCGTCCCGAGTCCCTTTGGGGAGATGGAGACAGGGTACAAAAATAAAGTTGTTATTATTTGTTCAGTCATTTCTGACTCTTCGTGACCTCATGGACCAGCCTAGGCTAGAGCTCCCTGTCGCAGTTACCGCCCCCAGCTCCTTCAAGGTCAATCCAGTCACTTCAAGGATATCATCCTTCAATCTTACCCTTGGTCGGCCCCTCTTCCTTTTTCCTTCCATTTCCCCCAGCATCATTGTCTTCTCTAAGCTTTCCTTTCTTCTCATGATGTGGCCAAAGTACTTCATCTTTGCCTCTACTATCCTTCCCTCCAATGAGCAGTCGGGCTTTATTTCCTGGTTGGATCTTCTGGTGGTCCAAGGCACTCTCAGAACTTTCCTCCAACACCACAGTTCAAAAGCATCTCTCTTCCTTCGCTCAGCCTTCGCTAAGGTCCAGCTCTCACATCCGTAGGTGACTATGGGGAATACCTCTGCTTTAACTATGCTGATCTTTGTTGCCAGTGTGATGTTTCTACTCTTCACTATTTTATCAAGATTGGTCATTGCTCTCCTCCCAAGAAGGAAACATCTTCTGATTTCCTGGCTGCAGTCTGCGTTTGTGGTAATCTTTGCGCCTAAAAATACAAAGTCTGTCACTGCCTCCACGTTTTCTGCCAGTTATCAATCAGTCTGGGTGCAACCCAGCTTTTGCACTTTCTTCTTTCTTTGGTATAGACTGACATATCCAGAATTCTGAAATCCTAAATACTCCAAAATCATCCACCTAGGTTCCTTGCTTTCTGTATCATGCATACAATTGTTTAAAACATTGTGCAGCATGGCTGTGTTTATCTGAAACACAAATGGATTTCACATTTAGACATTTTTAAAAATGATTTATTGTTTGCTTTATTTTTACCCTGACTTTCTCCCAACATTGGAACTCAAGATGGAAACAATAAATATGAAACAACACACATTAAAGTAATATGAATGCACTCGTATTCACAATTTTTCTTTGTCCATGGAATTGCTTGTGATGGCGGTTCTTCGATTGTTTGTGTCCCTTCATGAAATCTTCTTTTTAGTGTCTTTTTAGTCATCAGATCCCTTGCGGTTTCTCAAAACTAGGTCAGGTTAGCAGATGAAACATCAATGCCAGGACAGGAAACCATATTTGGTCACAGCAATGAAGACCCATTTCTCTAGTTTCAGCATACTGTCAGAAAATGGGTTAGATTTGACAGCATACTGTCAGTGGGTGCATCTACATCATGAAATTGATGCAGTTTGACACCACTTTAACTCCCACGGTTCAATGCTAGAGAATCATGGGAGCTATAGTTTTAAAACACATTTATCCTTCTTTTTAGCCTTCTCTGCCTTATAACAGAAAGCACAGCCATAGTGTTGAGCCACCAAAGTTAAAGTGGTATCAAATTGCATTAATTCTACAGTGTAGATCAGGCATGAGCAAACTTGGGCCTTCAGGTGTTTTGGACTTCAATTCCCACAATTCCTAACAGCCTCAGGCCCTTTCCTTTTTGGAAGAGGAAGGGGCCTGAGGTTGTTAGGAATTGTGGGAGTTGAAGTCCAAAACACCCGGAGGGCTCATGTTTGCCCATGCCTGGTGCAGGCGCACCCAAAATCATCATTTTCATGAACCTTCTCAATCCCCTGGTCATATGTCCCATCCAAGCTTATGGAACATTTCAGTAATTGATTTTCACCAGTTTCTACATCAATAATTATTGATAATAATAATAAATCGTATTTCTTACCTGCCTGTCCTGAAGGTACAACATAGATTAAAAACATCAAATTATTATAGAGGCATAGATTAAAAGGCCTTATGTAGCAGGTTTGCCATGTTTTCATTTCTCCTTGTTTTGTGCTACGATTAAACAATCACATGGTTTTGATGCTTGTCATATCAACTACGCAACTGCAACAAAACAATTTAAAAAATGTAATTTAATTTAAACTTTAAAACAAAATAAAAGAACCAAGAAACACGGTAAAAGGTGTCCGTGGACCAGGCAACCTCTGAGGATGCCTGCTATAGATGCAGGTGAAACGTCAGGAGAGAATGCTTCTGGAACATGGCCAGACAGCCCGGAAACTCAGCAATCCAGTGATTCCAGCCATGAGTCTTCGACAATACTTATTATTAAATTGTCTTGAGTCCTTTTGGCTCCTTACTCCAGCTAGGCCACTGCTGCCAACTGTGACCTGGAGCCATAGCCTAGAATTCCTTCCTAACGCCATCTGCCCTGTGGGGTTCCCACACAAATAAATGCAAAAACAGGACAATCTTATTTCCATCTGAATCCTAGTTCTATCCAGGTTGCTATTGCCAACTCTGACTAGCAGCTAGTATTTTGCTTTGTAAATAAATGCAAAATTTATAAATTTACTACTTGGAGTTATGGTGGTTTGCCATCCAAGTAAATGGAGGGCCACAACTCCAAACCCACTCCTCAGGAGCTGGCAAGGGGCAAACCTTGGTCCTCCCTCCAGAAGTTTTGGATTTCAACTCCCGCAATTCCTAACTGCTGCTATGATGAATTGTGGGAGTTACAGTCTGAAACATCTATCAAGAGGGCCAAAGTTTGCCCATGCCTGGTATAGAAGAATATGCTGAATGAATGAGTTATAAGACTCTACTGAAATCAAAGTCTAATGCTCAAGGGAGATGATAGGCTACTTTTCAAACAGTCGCCGTTCTCTCTGCTCTTTCAGTCTCTCTTGGACTCAGACATTCCCATCCTGCAGAAATGCGTTTTGTTGGTCTTTAATTATGTGTTCGTTGTGATTAAATATTTATACTATTTATCTCTTTTTTAAAAAAATTATGTAATTTTGTGGCATTTAATGATTTGCCTTTTATGTTGTAAGGCACCCTGATCCCCATGGAGAAATGGGACAGGGGATATAAATAATGTTTGATTGAGGGATGCCTCCCAGCGGAAACACACAGCTCAGTGCTCTCCAGATGTGTTGGACTCATGCTCCCATTATCCTCAGTGAGTGCTCTTTCCTCCACCTCTCTTTCAGGCTCCGTTTCTTAGGATGCGGGGATGTTGCCTCCTGCACCTACTATTCTGCCTGTGCTTGGACTCAGACATTCCCACCCTGCAGGAGCTTCCAGCTTAAAGAGAGGAGGATTAATAGTTTACCACTGACTCCATCTTGGTGGACAAAGCTGACAATATTAATTTATCAAAGAGCTATTTTTATATCTTTATACCGATTTTAATGGTTTAATTGTATTATCTATTAAACTGGCTTTAGCACAGCAAGTTTATCACCAGCTGCAGTAAATCTTGCCAACTGAAAGGTTGACAGTTTGAAGCCAGATCAGGGTGAGTTCCTGACCTTCAGCAAAGCTCCCTGCCCACGTAACTGATTGAAAACAGCAATGTGAGTAGATAAATAGGAACCACATTAACCGGGGAGGTATTTTAGGCAAAGTGTTCAGAAAAAAGTTTGCAAACACAAAAAGCTCTTTGGCAAGATGGAACAACAGCACTCCCTGTGGCAGGAACCAAGCACAGCCTCCAAAGATGCCAAAGGCATGGGGAAAAGCCAATGTAATACCTCTGTCTGTTGTCTGTCTTGTCGCTGTATAACCGGCATTGAACGTTTGACATATATGTGTTCTGTGATCCACCCTGAGTCCCCTTCAGGGTGAGAAGGGTGGAATATAGATACTGTAAATAAATAAATAAATAAATCTATGATGCCTGACTGTCTGACTTATATGCTTTTAGCCAAAGATGTTAAATCTGTTTTAATTGTATGTTTCAATGTTTTCATTTCAATACTGTACATGACATTGAATGTTTGCCATTTTTGTTTATGGAAGCCATCCTGAGTCCCTTCAGGGAGAGAGGGCAGGTTAAAATAAAACTTTATTATTATTATTATTATTATTATTATTATATTATTCCAGTGGAAACACACAACCCAGTCCTGTCCAGATGTGTGGGGACTCACACTTCCATTATCCCCTGTGAGTGCTCATTCTTTTCCTCATCTCCCTTTGAGGACCCGTTTTCTAGGATGCGGGGATGCCACCTGCTGCAGCCACCGTTCTTTCTGCTCTTGGGCTCAGGCATTCCCACCCTGCAGTCTGAAGACACCGCTCTAGATCCAGGCCTAGAAGCCCTGCCCTGAAGGCCGGATCATCTCCTGGAGGACCAAATGGAGGAGGTGGTTCTGTTCAGGGCTGAGGAGCGGCCAGAGCTCCTTCTGCAGGGCTTTGAGGGCCTCCAGGTCCTTCTCCTGGCAGGCCATGACGGTAGACTGGAGCAGCAGGTAGAGTTCGGCGGGGATGTAGCTGGGCGAGGCATCCAGAGCCTCCCAGGAGTACTTCTCCAGGGTCTGGGCATGCTCGGGGAGCAGCTTGGAAGGTGGGG